CCGAGTCAAGCCAGCAGATCCTAAACTACCCAATAGTCCGGGCGCCACACACGCGCGCGTACACAAAAATATCCCAGGGCTTAGCTGCTGCTGCTTCTGCTGTATATAAACTCGCAGATATAGCACAGCTTGCGGAGGGCCGGATATGTATAATGCACGCAAGCTCGCTTTCGTTTCTAATTTACGCTCCCTCTCTCCTGCTACTACCACCGCCTACGTACGTGCGGTAGAGCGAGGCTTTTTGCGAGAGAGCCTCTGCTCGTATTCAAAAGACGGAGGATTTCAATAATAGAGAGCGAGGGAGAGAGCGAGAGATTTGCCGCGCGCGCTTGGGTCAGGCAAGGATTACCTCGAGCTTGCGGGGTGCAAGGCCTTTTTTATGGCCTCGTTTCGGGCTGGGTCGTCATTAGTTTAAATGTGTGTGACTTTGCGTGTGTATGTGTGCGAGTCCCGAGCCTCCCCGTCGTTGGAGCAGTGCGTCACGTGATAAATAGATTTCGCTGATATTGCCAACGCGCCGCGCGCCAGAGGGCTGAAACAGATTAGCGGTGACGCCGCTATATATGTATATTACCATTATAGCTTGGCCGAGAGCCGTTCTTCAGGCATATGCTCGGCGCTTCCGTCCGCTGCCGCCGCCACCGCTACACTGTAATGAAGATGTTGCGGATCCGAGCCAGAGTGTCGGCCCTACCTACACCTATCTATCTACCAGAGCTTTCATATTGCGTTTTGATTTACCTTCCGGCGACTCGATTGTGCGCGCGCGCCCCGATGAAATATTCCTGCACTCAAAATAGGGAGCAGCGATGGCATGAAGCTTATATCCTGAACAAACAAACGATCCGATAATTAACTATCGTACAGAAGGCTCTCTCGAGTCGAGCCGAAAAAAACTTTCGCTTTATACGTATTACTCGCGTTTAATGGCTGCGAGCGCTCGCACGACGAAGGTATTCGAACGAAACCTTTTCCACGGAGAAAGAGAAAGAATAAGACCAGTTTATGAGGTGTGAAGAGCGAAAAAAAAAGTTTAAAGAGAGAGAGAGAGAGAGAAGGAAAAAAGAAGTGGAGCTCGCAGAGAGAGAGAGAGAGAGAGAGGGGGCCACCCGGATAATTTATAAGAGTGGATTTTACAAGTGAGTTGCCGGTCATGGTTTTACGCTCGAGCGCTCGCTGATAGGATTAGGCGCGCGATAAGAATTCGCGCGCGCGCGTATATATAGCCAGCTCGAGCTCGGGCTCGACGCGGCGGTGGCCTATTCGCGTAGTTGATGGAACAATTGGACTGGTTTATTGAGCTCTCGTATTACTACTAGCTAGCTGCTTGCGCGCGCGCGCGAGCCGAGCTCGAGCTCCTCGGGCTCATTAAACATTTCCAATGGCTCGACGCTGCTACCTATATAGCTCGAAAGCTCGGCGCGATATCCCCAACGCCGTACTCTGCCATAAAGTACTACGGGATCCTGCGCCCCGCCGCCGCCGCTAAGACGAAGAAGAAGAAGAAGAATGAAGGAGAAAAAGTTTTTTCATCCGACTAAATGATAACGATAGCGCGGCGCGCACTGCGAGTCGGATATTTCGATATATATAACAGCAATTGGCGCTTTGTATAAATAAACTTTATTCGATTTCGATGGACTTTATATAACGAGGGATTTTGCGCGCGGGAATCATTATCTCTCGATTAGGAAAATCGATGTAAAATGTAGGCTATTATTAGATGCGTCCTCGACGTGATCGTCGTCGTCGTCGTCGTCGACGCCGTGTGTCAGTTGCAAATCAGCCGACCTAAAAAGCGATCCACTCGCGAGTAATCATTAATCATTGTCGTAACGAGTACCTATATGTTTATCGATATACCAAGTTGCTGCTTAAATACTTGGATATATTGGTATGAGAGCAGCCTCGATAAGGCCTGCGCCGAGAGAACTCGATCATTTGCTCGTTTCGTTCGGCGTTGTGTGCTCAATAGCTGTATATACTTATCCGCCTGTAATGCAAAACATGTAATGCGCGCAGCAGCTAATGTACAGAGAGTTAGACTCGATACTAATTGCAGCTTGTCTCTCTAATTTCAATGGACTACTGCATCGCTGCAGCGACTCCGATCACGATGATCATCGTTAAATTCGTCTGCTCGCGCTTAATCACTGCATATATATAGATCGATTCGATCGGTTAAGCGCGATTATCTCTTTGTGGATGTTTTTTTGGCGTACGCGATTATATGATTAGGGCCATTTCAGCGGCGCAGCTTCGTTTCAAAACGATTCAGCTACGTATACGTTGCACACACGTATCATATGTAACACACATATTCACGCAAGCGCACCGAGCGAGCAACGCGCTTTTGCGCCACGCATAAAGCTCGCGAGCTATTAAAATTTTGCACAGCTACTACGCGCCGAGTTCGCTGGCATAGACTAGAGCTTGAACAGTCAACCGCCGCCGCTGCTGTTCGCTCCCTCTCGTGCACTTTATACAGCTGGCTTGGGAATAATAACAGTTTCGCAGCGCATCGTGGCATAGAGCGCAGCATTACAGCAGTAGATGTATAGCGCGCGGCAGCAGCACCAGTAGTGCAGTAGTATCAAAATAAAGCACGAAGCAGATTTCGCTTTACATCTTATTAATTTTCAAAGTTCGCCGCTCAGCGCGCGCGTTTCGTTTTCGCGAAATGCTCTCGCGCGAATTCGCAAACTACGCTTGTATACTGCCGAGTACGCGATGTACCGCGCGAACGGCGCCTGTGTATATACCGCGCGTTGCAGTTTCTCTATCTTCCTTTTTTCATTGCTATATATTTATTTACGTATCTCGTACTAGGGCATGTATGTAAGTATAAAACGAAGCGTGCATCGTAGCAAAAAGGTGGCGTGGAATTGGATAGAAGAAAAAAAACTCGCTGCAGAATAATACGTGTAAGGGTGGTAAACAAAAGGCTTAATTAAAGGGTAATGCAGATAAATTTACAGGATCTTCGGTGTATGGCTGCGCAAGCTATTTACTGCGTAATATTGATTTTCTGCTCTTTTTCCTAATTAGTGCGCCGGCTTTGCTCTTGTACCTTATAGGGTGTACACGCGTATGCACATGCACCATGCATGTTTTTATAGATAAATACAAGCTTGTAGCCCACGAGAGAAAGAGCGAAATTCTCGGATCTCGCGTGCAACGTGCACATAATAATGGCAACAGCAGCAGCAAGAGAAACAGTGCACGAGTTCAATGCTATAACAGTCGCGCGAGCCTTACAAAGATCCACGCAAGTAAAATTGCATTGATAACGAGGTGTGCTGAGTCGGCCTGTAATGCTACACATTTCATAAGCAAGCCGTAGCGGCGGATCGCGCCGCCAACTTGGCAGCTGCAAGCTCAACGCCACGTACACTTGCATGCAGCTCTGGCTTTTATATGCAAGCGCGCGCTACGATCACTTGTAAGGCTGTGTGCAGGTATATAAGGGCGCTCGCTCGCGTGCGCGGTGTATGTAAGCACACGTATTATATATAGGGCGCGGGGACGACTTTGCAATAGTTGTTGAAGCGGAGCAGTTACTGCAAGCTCCGAAGAGCTAGCTCCTTCAATTGAACGACGACGAATAATTTATGTATGCGTTATACCGACTGCTAAGCTCGACGCGCCCACGCGCGCTTGCGGTATATATAAACTTATTAGATGAATGTGTTCTACACGGAGTGCAGCGCGAAAGAGAAGGAGCGAGAGCAGGAAATATAGGGTGGAACATAAGCCACGCGATGCCGGAGCAATGTCTCTCTTTCACTCACTCGCTCTCTCTCTCTCTCTCTTGCCGCCTCGAGCTGTAAGCTGCGCTCTCGGTGCTGGTGCTCTTTCATCTAGCCCAGAGCGATATGTTCGATCGAGGATTATTAAGAGAACGGAGCGACGCGCGTCTGAGCTTGCAAGTTCGTCTACTCCGCGCGTTCGCAAAAGCAAGGTTGAAATATGCTTCCGAGCTAAATTATATATCTATATAACGTATGATGATGGTCTAAGGCAAGTGACGCCACCACCACCAACGCCGCCAACGGTGGTGTGAATAGCGTGGCATATAACTAGTTGTGCACGCATATAATAGACTCGGATGCCATTGTGCCAAGCTCCGAAGCAGCAGCAGCAGCTTCTATAAAGCTCTCTCTCTCTCTCTCTTGCTGTCCCTGCCGCACGAGATGCCGCCTTGTGACACGCGAGCCCGTTAGCATCGCGCGCGCGCATGTGTGTGTCTGTGTATATAATACGTAGGCTAGTATGTGAGTGCTGTGAGGCGAGATACGAAGCTCGTATATAGCTGGCTATATAGCTAGGCGACACGATGACCCAATAACGACACGACTCGAGCAGTCCTCTAAGCTCCTAATACGCGCGCCCGACCGAGCATTTCCTATACCCAAGATTTTTTTCACAGACCCTCGAGGATGAATGTGTATGTGTGTGCGAGTAGTTCGTATTATATACGGGTACCTTTTTTTCAGTGCCCTCTACCCCTCTAGCTCTCTATACGCATCAGACGTGATCTATCAAACTTATTTTTGAATCAAATATCCTCTCTCTCTCTCTCTCTCTCTCTCCTTCGTCAGCTCTACTTTCCTATTGTTCAGGTGCGGCGCGGCGCGCTCGCGGCTTTTTTAGCCACTATACCATCCCAGCCGAGTACTATATAATACCGTCTCATCATTCTTGAGCTCGCTACCGTGGGGACTGGGCTGAAAAAATATCTCTCCATTACTCTCGGTACTGCGGCCACGACAAAAAATGTATGTATATCACGAGCTCGCTAATCCAAACAAATGAGCTTATCAAACATGCAAGTGCAGTCGTCGTCGTCGTCGTCCGCGTACTCTATATAAAATATAAAAAGTCTCTGCTCGGAGCTTGGAAAAAAATATCCTTAACGTACTATACTCTTTCTCGCTGTCTCTCCCTCTCTCTCCGGACGGATGGTTCATTTTTTGCTTTTCTGCTCTTTGGCGTTGCAGAAAACGATGGGCTCAGGCTGATCGATGGCCTACTCCACAGCGAAAAGGATAGCGGCAGCATTGGCTCGATGTCGGGAGGCGGCGCCAGCGGTAAGCTACCTGTGACGAAATTCGCCACCGTCTCCGGTGGCAGTGGCAGTGGCAGTGGCGTTGGAACAATAACTGCAGCCACGACGACGACGTTGTTGAGCAGCGCGACGCATTTCGCCGACGAGGGAAGCGAGAACGTGACTGCTCTGGTCGGCCATCCAGCCGTGCTGCTGTGCAGCGTGCGCAACCTCGGCAATAGGACGGTGAGTTATCCGCTGCAGCCAGCAGCAGCTATATATTACATTTATACAATGTATATGTACAGCGTATACACATAGTGGTAAAAGTACTCGGTCGTGCACGTACCAAAGCTTCGGCCGCGCGAGCAGCTTTTGTTTGAGCTTTTTTGGCCGTACACTTCGAGTTTCTTCGACCGTGACTATGGATTGTTTCGGCAAAAGGTGGGCTTTATGCTTCGTGTTCTCGATATATCAATTTTTCTCATTTTTCGCAGTCTATTGAAATAATGCATTTTCCAATGCGTTCAAAAATTAAATGTAATCATGTAACCTCATTTGATTACGAGAATATTTAATTTTAAGCTAAAAGTATAATAGTTGATTTCAAAGATCACATTAACTCTTTTTTATGAAAAATTAGAAAAAATGCTTAAAAATTCTACATTTAATGTCTAATCAAATTACTCGGAAAAATGCCCGTTAATAAATAGCTCAGCTGGTTGCTTTGACAAAAAATCGTATAGTTTAAATGGAAAAAAAGGAAAAAAATAAAGTATAAAGAGCACGCGTGCGGATCGTAAAATTTTCAACGCAATCTAAAATCTATGCACCGTTTTGCGTGTAAGTTAAAGCCATGAAATTCGCTTCATTTTTTAAAATGAAATTATGCGAAAGGCCGTGCCAGGAAATTAATAATCACGCGTAGCTTTACGCGGAAAAATGGTTGTGAATTTTTTCGTCAATTTGAAGGATAATCCGTGCTCTCTCTCTCTCTCTCTCTCTCTCGGTTATACACTATTCAAAAGAAATGGGCCTTTGTAGGTCACGTTGAAAACGCGAAATCTTTGGCAGCTCCGCGTAGTGTACTGTGTGTAACATTTCCTATGCTCGGGCAGTGAAAAAGCAATTTTTCATTTGCCAAGTCGTGTACTTAACATACGAATGAATTTCGCTGTTACATACATGATTTTGTTACACGTACATGCGCGCACGTGTCTTTTTGGCAGTTGAAAACCGCCGAGGCTTGATTCCCCGACAGCGTCTTCAGATCGTGGGCTATTATTCACAAATTCCATATAAGCTCCGTGCCAAGCGTGGTAATACGTGTATTTGACGTAACTGAATTAAATAGGCGCGTGTAGGTATCCGCCAATTTCACGAGTTATTTATGCCTTTTATATCTTTGTCTCTCGTGTAAAGATTTCTTACTTTTTTCATCGAGTACGTATAAAGCAGAATTCAGGAAGATTTCGTGTCGATATTACCACCGAGAGCTGCTAATGAAGCGTCGAGGCACTGCTCAAGCCGCGAATATATCCCCTCGCATATGCGCGTATAACGAGATGAAAACGAATCGGGCACGTAGACATACAGCAGCGAATACGTGTCGATGAAAACATTATAGTCTAATGCATGCGCATATGGGTACAGAGAGAGGGAGAGAAACCGGAGCTGTACTCGAAACTATAGGCTTAATGAATTCCACGCGCGGTACGCTACACACACGCGCACACATACACACAACGGGCTTTATTAATCCTTGTTGCGCGCGAGCTACAATCAGCACCCGGCCGCGCGCTTTATATACTAGGCTAAAAGCCAGACGTGCAGCGAGCCGCGCGATGTATCGCTAATGCGAAATAGAGCGCGTGTAATATAGCCGCGTACTCGCGCGCACGAAAAGTTCGCCACTGCACAACATTACGAGCTCGCTACGAAGTAACGAAGTTTGCAAAAGTTTATTCTAAAATAAGCACGAGCGCAAATTGAAAATAAATTTCGTTCGCTAGGCGAGTCACTCTGTGATATTATTCGGCGCGCTGCGCGCAAGCTCAAGTATTATGCATAAACGCGCCTGTAGCTTACACACACACACACACACACACGCACACACAAACACACACATGTAGACACAAAGGCGCCTTATACGGCCTAGGCATCGGCGGCCGGTAATTGATGCCAGAATTCTTTAAATCCATACGCGTCGGAGGCTTTTCATCTATGTATATTGCAACGAGGCGCAAAGCCCGGATCGCGCGAGTTGGCGAAAAATACGTGGAAAATAGAGTGAAAAGCCTCGAAGAACTCGAGATGTGCGTCGACGAGCGACTGTTCGTTTTTTTTCGCTCCCCCATGGATTTCAATTTCAACTTCTCGGATAAATTCGCGCGCAGCAGCTCCGCTCGCAAAGTACACATCTTTGTCGAATTAAAATCATTACATACATTCGAGAGGCTGCGAAGTTCGCGCGCGAGGAAAAAGGAAAAAGGCGCTCGCTAAGGCTTTTCGTTGGGAAAACAGCGAGTGGTGAGTTGGAAAAAATTCAATTTCCTCGTCGAGATAACTGCGCGCGCGATTTCGTTATAGATAGATGTGCGAGAGGGCGCGCGATAAGAGATCGACTCATGCACGTTGATGGAGTCTCGAGATGATTCGATGTATAGGCACGATCATCGTCGTATATGCAGAGGCGCGCTCCACTGAACTTCAGCCGCGCGTGTTATATTCGATATATTCTATACGTTTCGCCGGTTTCTCCTTGAGGAAGCAATCGACTAATATGCGCGAGCTGGTAACGATGACTCAATCGAGGGCATTATATATAATATCGAGCTTACTTTGGCCGAGGGGCCACACATGTATGCTCTCAGGCGATTAAGTTTTCGAGTTGAAAGCTTAGATTTATTTTTTTTCTCCCTTTTTCAAAAAACGTCATTAAAATTTTTCGTTTTTCTCTCTCTCTCTCTCTCTCTCTCTCTCCTTCTCCTCGAGCTTGAAAATGTTGAAGCCAAACGAGAGCCTTTCATACGGAAATATTTTCACTCTCGCGGGAAAAAGCGCAGGTCGCGTATACCTACTACGTTCCATTTCGTCGATGTAACTCTTTGCACGCACGTACGTGAGAGAGAGAGCGAGAGCTGCCTTCGACGCACGCGAGGAGTAAGGGGTCGTGTTTTTAAAAGAAATCGACGCGAGACCATCTATACGTATTACATATATAGAGTTCGACTGCGGCGTACGTGCAAAGATAGACATGCAGCAGCAGCTGGAGTACTTTTTTTTCAACCTTCTTATTTCGTTTGCCGATCTGCATGTGTAATGGCGAATGGGCCGCTTATATGTATTACATGTATGTGTGTGTGCGTTCGTCTTGCAGGTGTCGTGGATAAGAAAGAGAGATTTGCATATCTTGACGTCGATGGCGCTCACGTACACGAGCGACGGACGATTCACCGTTATCGGCAATACCGAGACGTCGGACGATTGGAATCTACGAATAGATTACGTGCAGACCAGGGACGAGGGCATATACGAGTGCCAAGTCAACACGGAACCAAAAATACACAGGGCAGTCTATCTGCGAGTTTTAGGTAAGATACATCATATTACTTTTATAAATTTATAATATGTTTTCAACCGGCCTCCTTGATGCTTTAGCTTATCCTCGTTCGGGTCGGTAAGCACTTGACTATTTTACGCATCAAATCGAAAAGTATGTAAATCTTGTGAACAAGATTCATGCTCAGACTGATTATGCTACTACTCATATTAAACAGGATTTAGTAAAAGTCCCCTTTGAGGCATGTGACATAATTTTGTCGCGACAAAGAATCCGGCAATTATTGTCGCGTGCGCTGTTTCAGCAGGGCGCCTCAAGCGAGAAAGAACGAGTCAGTGGTCAGTAATTCGCTGAAGGCAAATGAAATAAAATTCAATGAGCAAGGCTAGGATTGATTGTTATTGTTTGGCAATTTATCGAGGGTAACTCTGACGCGTTGGGGGAGGGTAGCGCCCGTGCGCGCGCGTTAACGGTCAGTGCACTGTAATCCGATTTCGCTTCCGTCCGTGATGTGTGAGCTCCGATACGTTACACCTACGCATACAAATACACATATAGTACTGTGCACACATACACACAGACATTTATTCAGCAGTTCGCTGAGGCACTGTCTGTGTGCATGTGTACAGCATTATACCTGTATAGTATACGCAGGGATCGCGGGTCGTCGTGTCGAAGTGCGCAGCGCGTATACATTACTTTCTCTTGGCCGTTCGGTCTCGCTCTGATCAATATTGGCTTTAATGAGGTCGTTACGGTCCATAAAACCGACGCCCTCCACTTGCGCTTCACGTCCCTCTCTTTCTCTTTCTCTCTTTTTTTCAACCTTCTCTTTTACATCGCTCCGCGTTTCTAGCGCTCTATAACCATAATGTTATATCATATGTATATCTACCGTTGCACGCGCTGACTAATTTTATTCGTCGTTTGCGATATATAGCGCTTGCACCCGGCTATTCATATTTTATATCTTTCAAAGCGAATATGTTTTTTTCATCTTCTTCTTCTTTTTTTTCTAATCGATCTAGTCGATGGAATTGCGCGAACATTCCAATCGACTTTGGCAAGTTGCGCTAACGCGCTATGTATGTGTGTGTGTTAACTCGAGAAAAGCATATTACTTCGGAGGAGGAAGAAGAAGGACCGGGAGAATCGAAGCTTGCTTGCTCGCAAGTAAAGCCAGAAGCTATTGCCGTAAATAATAGAGTCTGCTGCTCTGTGTATACGTATATAATACCCGTGCAGTTGTGTGCGGTATTTCCTCGCTACACAGGTCGTTTAAGCGCTGCTCCTCGCAGCGACGACGAAGTAGTCGTCGTGTCCTCCCCCTTTGCACCCAACCCCCCTTTCCGATTCAGCCCCGCCGCCATACGCAGATCGTAAAGAGACGCATTACCCGAAGAAATCGCGTAATAATAATAACGACTAAATCATCGTTCGCCCGCGCGCTGCGCAATTCCGAGAGAGTATAAAACACGCCCTCGCGCGATATACTCGGCTAGAGCTAGCTCTACTGTACTGTGTGCAGCCAGTCTCTCGTCCAAAATGTCTTTGTACTACATTTACGTGCGCTGCGGACGGACGATTTATAAATCGTACTATTTACCTATTTGGCAGAAGCTTATCTTTCTTTCTTTCCTTTTTTTCTCTCGCTCTCTACCTCTCGTGGTTTTTCGCGTAAAAGGAGTAACAAAAAAAAGGAGAGAGAAAGAAAAACAGCGACTTTGTAGTGAGTCTATTTCTTAGATTCAGTCCCTCTCTCTCGACTTCTTGAATGATAAATAAGTATGAGCAGTGGCAGCGCTGGGCTGAATTTACCATGTAGCTCAGTCAGCCGCGCGAGAGCTTTCCCCTTTACAAATCAGTTTTCCGAGCTCGTCCTCGCGCGCGCGCGCGTGGCAGAAGAAGCAGAAGTAGTAGCAGCAGCAGTAGCAGAGGCACACGATATATGTAATAGAGTCAGTTTTCGTTGCGGTGCATATAACTCGTGCCTTGCTCCGTGCGCTGCTATTTTTCTTGGCTACGCTCGCGATTCTCTTTACCGAATCTTCGTCGTTTTTTTCCTTCTTTATACGCTTGACTTATATATAAATGTGTGTATGTGTGTATATCTATACAGATGTCCAAGCGGAGATCCTCGGTCCCGACGAGGTGTACGTGAGGAAGGGTAGCACGATAAGCCTGACCTGCATGGTGAACTCTCAGGGAGTTCCACCGAGCAACGTGACTTGGTACCATGCCGGCAACGTCATCGACTTCGACGGTCCGAGGTACGTACACATGCGCATACTTGTACATACATACATATACTATGCAGCAGTTATTTTTCCGTGTTTTTACTCCTTTCCAGCTTCCCTTCTTCGCCTATATCCTACCTAGTTTAATATCTATGTACTTGGAGATGAAACGGGTATAAATACAGCCCCCGGGAACGCGGGACGAGGTCTTATCTTCGCGGCCCTGAATTTCTTGCTTTGGTATACATAACGTATAGCAGTGGCGCACCAGGCTCTTGTGATATGTAGCTATATATGCAACCAACGAGAAAGAGACACGCAGATATGCTAATGGAAATTGCGCCACGCTGCCTCATGGGGCGTACACAGGGCGTACATAGGCGCTTTTTCGGCTCCTCGTCTCTCCGGTTCGGGCTATTTCTTGCTAATTCACTCGACCCAGCTCTTATATTCGCTCTTACTCTCTTAGCTCTTTGTTGGCTCTGATTTTGATCAGGGAGAATTGCTCTTCATACATGCTAAACCAAGAAGTAAAAATTTTGTCGCATCAAAGTACAATCTGCACAGAATTTACTTCTAAAGCGTGAGATCCGGCGCTGAAACGAAAATCTGAGAGAAAATTACTTTTAAAAAGTAGGATTTACCAAAAAAACACTTTTGAGTCCTCTCGGTCCTTTTTCTAAAAGTAATTTCAGCGCCAATTTCACCTTTAGAAGTAACTTCTGTGCAGATTGTACTTTGATGCGACAAAATTTTTACTTATATAGTTTTAGCGAATAGGCGCATGAATTTTGTTTAACGATGAATGGTGAATTAAATGAGGCGCGTATAATTTTCGACCAGGATCATTTATAATGAACGAGTAAAAATGTTCTTAGCGTACCCTGGTAGAAAGTTCAAATTTTATAGTTAGTTTTTGGCAAATAAAAAATGTCTTGAGCACAAAAAGGCCATTAGAACTGGGCATATACTAATTAATCGCTGAAGATTTTCAATTCTTTCATGTTTTTTACTGTTTAATGATCAGTTTTTTATAATATAAAAATCATTCAAAACATCACTTTTTAATCTTCTATATTTTAAACGTGAAACGTCATTAACATCAACGTAATAACATTATTGTTTATGCTTGCTCTTAGAAATGAATCTAATTATCAACAATGATGTTGATTTTAAAAAAAAACCTGTTTCGCCAGGAGGTCTCTAGTAGTGAAATCGTTGAAGAAAAAATAAAGTCATGTACATAATGTCTTAAAAACTTGCTTTGATATATGCAATTATTTTGACTTTGCCACTTACAGATTTACAGATAAAGGTATTTACCATTTATAGATACCACTATAGTGGTAGAGGCTTTAAGTAGTATTAAAGTATTCAAAATAAGTTTCAATAAAACTTACACTTATAGTTTAATATAACCATAATTTTGGGCTAAATATTCTTAAAGAATGAAATTATCATTTCTTAGTGATTTAAAATGCGCTTAATATGTGTAACATAATAGTAGCCAAAGAATTGACAAAACTAGTCAATTAATGTTATAATGTTATATAAAACATTTTAAATTGTCCTTTTTTTTATTTATTGGGATATTAATAATATCGAGCATCTCTATCAAGAGATATGCTGTTCATTTTTCAGAAAATATCTTACGGATATCAAACAATTGAATAACTGAACAAACATTACCATCCAATCGCTGCGAATGTAAATTAACAAAATTATCGAGCTTTACGATCACACGGTACGAGCGTCCCTGTGGCTCGTTGTGAAGAAGTTTTCGCTTGCCTCGAGCGAGTTCTCTCTATGTATAAATCTTCATTCGCCCGCGTGTATTATATGAATTATGTATATTTTCTGCGAGTAAACCAGATGCATTCGTGACGACGCTTGTCACATAAAAAATATTCCTCGGAAGGATGAAATTACCTGCACAGTTGTCGTCGTCGTCGCGAGTTCATCGCTCGAGCTCTCGCGAAAGCAAAGAGTCATGGAGAGCTGCAACGACGATAAAGTTCGATTAAATAAGCAACTTTTCAACAGCGCACGCGCGTACATACGTACGGGCGTAGAGTATATATATATATATGCGTACATTTACACACGCAGACAGAGAGAGAGAGAGAGAGAGAGAGAGAGAGAGAGAGAGAGAGAGAGTTTAGTTACACGCGGCGGGTCTGACGCAGCGAATGCTTTACGACTTGGCGACGAAGCGATAAATTCGTTGTCGTCGTTCGTTCCGCAGCCTGCAGCCTCTGCCTCTCTCTCTCTATCTAACTCCGTTCCTCCGCGACGCGTCGTAATAAAGTGCGTTTCCCTTACGCGCGACGAGCTAATACTGCGTATAATTCTTTTCTTTGCCTCTTTCTTCAGCAGCCCCCTGTCCCGCGATCGTAAACAATGAATTTTGAGCAATTTTATCTTGAAAGTAATCTCGACGAAATAAAGTGCAACTACCAATTTGTAGCCGCCAAGCAAAGCCAAGGCAAGCTAGCAAGCCGGCAATGCTGCTTTACATTTCTTTCAAACCACGCACCAGCAGCAAAGCTTCTTTTTCTCTCTTTCTTCTTTGGCTCGTTCTTCTTCTTCTGCTGCTGCACCGTACTCGCTACTCGCTTCGGTTTTTGCATCCGGAGCAAGAAATGTTTGCCTTATATCTCCCTATACGCCATTGGAGAGAAAGTTTTTTTATATAACTCTAAGCCGCTCTCCTTCGATACTTATTTTTATTGAATTTTTTGATTCATCAGCTTGCGAATCGTACGGAATGCAATCCGTAAATACGCTGTTCTATACAACACAACTTTATATGCTCGGTTAATGATGATTTCGAATTTTTTCTCGTTACTTTTAATTCTGCTGATGCCGCGAGCTTATACAACGGCGATTTATAAGCTTGTTTATTTATTCCTTTTTTTTACGGGCAAAGTTGAAAACTTTTATTTTGTCAAGATAGTGAGGGATAGCACGCAGGAGTAAAGACGAGCCATTAGTAAGAGAAGTTTTTTTTTGCCCAAAATGCTAAAAAAATTTATATATCCCACGTCGAAGTATATACATTCGCCATTCAAAGTTAATGTAGTATTTCGGATTTTAATGGCAGCAGTGGTAGAAAGTCCGGACTAAGATGAGGAAAGGGAATGAGTGAGAAAGCAAGCTGTTACATTTTCTTGATTTTATATAGTTGAGCGTATCTACATTATTCAAATAAAATGGAAAATGTCGCTCTTGCGTGAAATAACCTTTCAGCGTGCTCGTACGCGCGCAGTATATGCAGCCTCTCTCTCTCTCTCTCTCTCTCACTCTTCTGCCACATAAAATTATGAAATTATTTTAACTTCTTCTTTGCAATGCTGTTTTTGCGCGCGCGCGCGAGTACAGGTAAATATGACTGCCGGCGGAGCTGAAAATGTATGATTCGCCGTGTAGCACTCGCTCGCGCGTACGTACGTATACGCACCTCGTACGAGTCGTGTATGACTGCACTCAGCTGCAGCGGTGTGCCTGCAGGGAGAAAACTGCATTGGCAGGCTCCAGCCCCTGGCTTACAAGCCTTGTCAGTTGCATTAAGTATAAAAAAAAATTCGTTAATGTGATTTTTGCGCGAGTCGATTAGCTTTTCAGTACGCGCGCGCGCCCGTGCACGTGAAATCCTCGACCATGACGCGCGAAAAGCTGTATATAGGCGTCGTTAAGCACCCACTTTTGTTGGGAATTTTTGAAAAGCAACGGCCCACGAGTAATGCAATGAAAAGGGCATGCACACGCCGAGTTTTTTTCTCGATAGGTCGTTGCGGCCCTTGCATTCGAGTTGTTTAATCACTTCGACGAGTGTAAAACGTCGAAAGATTGGCTGAAGCAGGAGAGAAAGCTTGATAAGATTCGGGTGGTAGTACGTAAAACAGCCGCGACTCTTTTATCGCTAATTTCATTCCAGCGTCGACTGGATCTGCAGTCAGTGCTTGGCAAAGGCCAATTCATCAAGACCAGAGTCAAAAGCCTCTCTCCGCGACGTATACATACAACAACACGGCGAGCGAGTCTCATTCCAGACCAAAATAATAAGCTGCAGCAGCACAGCGAGCTGATGTGGTACTTGCGGAGAGCTTACGCGTGTATATATACGAACTGGAGCAAAATAGGGAGTGAGTAGGTAGAGACGTAGCAGCTAGTAGTCGGGCACGCGGGGCATATAAACTGCTGTTTCTCGTGTCGTCGCCCGAGTCTCAAGAAATGCGCAGCAACTACAGCAGCTTCGCGCTGGTGTATGTGCGCGTGTGTTACGCGCGGGGACGAAATCTCTCGCTGTTCATATTATTACGCATAAATAGCCGACGAGAGAGAAAGTCGAGCTGCTTCGTGGAAATACTGGCGTGCAATTAAGGCTCTTTCTCCTTCCATCCCTCCCAAGCTGCTCTTCCTCTTTGTCGCTGTGTATGAGCATAGCGGCAGGAATAAGCTGGATTCGTTTGTGCGTGCACTGCGCGCGTATATGTAATCCGACAGGTATACTGTATTTAGCCCGGAGGATCTCACCGTAGCACTTGGCGCTTTCGCGCTCTCTGTTTTGTATGCTCCGCAGGGGTGGAGTTTCACTGGAGACGGAGAAGTCGAAGGGCGGCACGACGAGCAAGCTGCTGATAACGCGCGCTTCCCTCGGCGACAGCGGCAATTACAGCTGCGTGTCCAGTAAGGCCGCTCGCGCCACCGTCGTCGTTCACGTTCTCAATGGTAAGTGCTCTCGCTCTCTCTCTCTCTCTCTATGCTTTGCATGCAAGCGTGTCTCTGTATGCGTGGGTGTGGGTGAGCTTGCAGCAGCTACGAGCTCTAGCGCTCTTTGTTCCGAGTTATATGCAGCCAGCACTACTCCAAAGGAACGAACGAGCGACCCACCCACACACACACACACCCATGCGCACACGTATTATGTGTTCTCTCCTATGTACGTATATAACGAGTCGAGGCGCATAATCGCAGAGAGCTGGGCTCAGCTCTATACTACTACTGCTGCTGCTTTTGTCTTATCGCTTTCCGACATCGTCCTCCGTGTGTGTATGCTATGCGGGATGGAGCGAGCAAGCGAGACATTTTCACCCTGGCACTGCGAATTCGCCGGAACATATATTTCATAATACACATACAGCGAGTTTAACTGCATAATTTGCCCCCGCCGAGTAGTGGTGGTAGTAGTAGTGGAGCAGTAGTACAGCGGCAGCAGCAACTTGATTTATGTTGAAATGATTTTTTTTCTATACCCTCGTCTCGGGCGTTGCTCGCTCAAACAACTTCAGCGCCCGAGCCATAAGAGAGTAGGTAGTAAGGCGCGCACGTTATAATATAAAATGTTTCGATGGCTCGAGAGCCGTGTTCGCGGTCTGCGATGGAAAAGCAAATATATTACACCGATAGTATGGTTATATTTTTCATTTTTCATTTGTTTTTTTACTTCAACTACTTTTGTTTTATAGTTTCACCCGTTCGCTCCTAGTTATCGTTCTCGCGAAGTAGTCCTAGTAGTAGTACTGCTGCACGAATGGCAGTACTGCCTTATAATATTAAATACGCATATCGGGTACACGACGATCGAGCGAAAAATATTTTTATTATTCTCATACATTACGCTCGAGATTTATTGCCATCAGAGTTGTGTAGGAAAAACGCGAGTATAAATATAGCCCGGCACGCGTGCACGATCCCAGTTGCCGGGGATATTTTGCACTGCTCTCTGTTTCGAAAGCCGAAGAAAGCCAGTAGTGCGCGAGCGGGCGTAAAAAAACGCAGCAGTAGCTTGCGAGCTCCGTTCCCTTTCAAACTTCAAGCTAATAAAATTCGTTTTCTCTCTTTCTCTACGTGTCTCGTTTCGCCACTGCTGCCACACCACCACCACCACCACCACCACCACCATCGTCGCCACCTCTCGCTCTCTTGAATATGAGACACGCGCGATATATATAACAAGCCGCAGGCTCCCTAGCTCGTTTTTTCTTTTCTTTCTTTTTTTTGCCTTTTTTTGTCCACACTCGCACCACGCACGAGCTCGAGCTACATATCCGTCTCTCGCCCCCGTGCTCCTTTTCTTTACTTTTTTTTCTTTCATTCAGTGGTTGGCGCGGGTGTCTGCTACTGTACTATATACTCCGCAGCGCCACTGCCTAGGCGATGTATACCGTACGTGTGTATTTGCATTTCGCCACCTCCTGCGAGCGAGCGAGAGCATCTTTATACCTCTCGCTTCGTGGCTGGATCGCTTCGCTTTTTTTGTTGTTGCCTCTCACTCTCTAGTCTCCCTTCTTCTCACTTCTCGCGTTCGTGTGACTGGAATAATGGATGAATACCGGCACATTGTGCCCCGTTTCGTCCTGTTGATTTAGCGAAATTTATATATCAACCCCTGTATATTAAGATCCAGGAGAAAGTATTTTCACATGCTAATGAAGTGTACGCGATATCTACACACAAATGCATATTACACGAGCGCTCGAAGCAATTAAAAAAAATTTTGGATATACTCGAGTTGAGAGTGCGTGGATGCAAATCGGGATCAACGAGGCAAACAAATTGGTATGAAAAAGAAAATTTTTTTTCGTTGAACTCTGTGTGATCTATGTAAAGCCCGGCGAGCTGAGCCCATTAGCTCATCGCTCTTGCGCACCCTATGTATGATTCAATACGCGTATTTAAATATATAAAAGGTGCACGATCATTCGTGTGCGAGTGAGTTTTTGCGGGCGAGTCTCTGCAACTGCTGCATTGTAAATAATTTTATTTGCGCGTAAATAATATATATATTATGTGCACATACCACTGCTATATCGTAGGCGAGCTGGAACGTTCTTGCATGTGCCATTCATTGGGCGGGGAAAGCTCGCGCTCGATTCACTAAAGTAAGGCACTTTGGCGCTCTTTTCTCCTCGCTGGCCCAAATTAAAATTTCGCCCGAAGGAGTAAAAGCCCTGCCTGCCATCCCCGACGCCGCTCCGCTACTGCTCGGGGGCGCTTTTTCACCGATCGCTATATTATGCGCAGCGCTCGCTTGCAAGCGAGATTTGTGCGCTTTTCTTCATGCTTAACCAGTGCAATTACATCCAAAAAGGCGGGAGAGCTTCGCCCTCGCATACACGTATACTCACCTATATACGCACACACACACACACACATACTCTCTTGAATAAGTATAAAGAGGCAGCACAGAGGCGGCTGCTGCTACCGAGCCGCGAGTAAAGTTTCATCGAGTTGGCGTTCTCGTTTCACCCCCCGACGCGTTTCTATTGGCCCCGTTCGCGCTGCACTGCTACTATGCTGCTTCTACTACTACCGGCAGTATTGCTACTGCGAGTACTACTGTTACTACCACTGCTAACGCTACCACTACTACTTTTTGCCGTAGTAGTAGTACTACTGCTAATGCTGCAGCTGCAGCTGGGGGTAGAGCCCAGGCAAGACGCGGTAATACTTGCTTCATTCCATACTTATAGCTCGACGCGAAAGTTCAAAGATTTTCTATACCCACAATAGGCATCAATTTCCTTTGTCGCCGTTGCCATCGTCGTCGACGTCGTCCTCTTGCAGTCGTACTCTCGCAGTCGACGAGGCTAGAATTCAATATATACCCGAGCTCTCTCTCTCTCTCTCTCTCTTTTTGCACTTTCCTCGAAGGCGTGCATTTCTCTTTCACACGTAATTGGCCTTTTCGTTTGTATACATATATAGTAGACACGGAGAAAGAGCGAAAGAGCTGGTAGTCAACGAAGCTTGTGCATGTATGTGTGGCTGTGTAGGTGTGTATGTATGCGCACGCTATTCGCACAAGCTCGATTTTCGTTAATTGCGTACACACCCCCCGTGCTGCTGCTGCTCCTCCCGCCGCCACTACCGCTGCGCAGCGAGCTTATGAGTATAGTAGACGAAGTATATTTACAGCAGCACACGGCATGGGTAATTGATCGTTGGCTTAATTAGATTGATTTACACTCGTGCGGTCGTTCTTTTCTATTGAAGCGAACGCCACGGCTGTATATGCGTCACTCAATGCGCAGTATGTCTCACGCTCTGCTCGTGTTCTCTAGAGCGCACGGCGTGAACTCGAATATTATATTATTTGAAAACTGCGAGACTGCGAGACTCGCGTTGTTCCTTCTTTCTCATTCATTTCGCTTTGAAAAATCCCTAATGATCCCTTCGCATGCGCCGTCTCGTCGTTGAGTGGTCTTTGATTCTTTTTCCTCTACATACGCGTACGCGCACGTTGAAATGTAGCAGACACAATGGCAATGGAAAGTCTCGACTTTACGCCCATCAGACCATTTTTCGAACTCACGCGTACTACCCATATTAACGTACTGTCACACGCGCGCTCGCCATATAATTCACACGCTGCTTGCTTATCGTCAATAATATTAAAGTTTGCTGCCGGCTGTTATATACGCGTATTTCCTTTAATTGGCAGCTCACAATTGGAAAATGTTTTAATTAGCTCGCCAGTGCAGCAGCTCGCAGTTATTTATTCACCTACTGCATCCGAATGAACTGCACTTTTATCTTGCGGTGCGCAAAGCTCGCTAATAATTACAATTCGTCAGAGCGTCGAGGTAAAGCTCATTTGATGCACGTGTGTGTGCGTCCGTACGCCCGCGCGTACGCGTACTCCACAATTCATCGTCGTATTCAATGATTTCGCGACAGGAGACGACGAAATAATGCGTTATAATTTCACTTCTTTTTTCGGTCGAAATTTCTCGGCAAACTTTAACGGTTTATTTCGCTCACATGCATATTGTATTAAGGTCTCCTTTGTCTAACGCTGTGCACGCTGGTCTCGCGATCGAGTCTGCATAAACGTTATAAATTCATTAACGTATAGACGTGCTTAAAATAACTAAGCGCATATACGGGAGCTGCAGCTAGCAAGAGAGAGGCCGAGCTGCTGCTGCTGCAGCCTGGCTGTATATATGCATATATCGTGTAGTAGTACAGCGTAGATTGGAAGGAGAAACTCGGCGCTGAAGTAGTTCGAGTCAAGCGTCGGTCAGACGTGAAGTATGTTGTATTAAAGGTAAAGTTACACCGTTGCATGCTGCACTTCTCTCTCTCTCTCTCTCTCTCGCTCAGCTCTTGCCGACTCTGCTGTTCCTGCACTCGGGTGCGTACACCCACCTTCGCCCATCGGACTTTGTGCTGCGCGCGTATAATAATATATTACACGTGCGCACGCATACACACATGCGTACATCTTTTACTCACCTGTGTAGTGTATATACGATGCACAAATTTTGATTAAATTTTCCCTAGGTATTTAATCAAGTCTTCTGCATTTTACATGCATAATACACCTGTATGCACTTTACTAACTGTACAGAGAGCCGAGTTCTAATACGAGGTTGATTCAATAAATTCATTCGTTATAATGATCAATTAATTTGAATCTATTAAATAAGAGAAAAAACGTATCAAAGAACCGAAGTCTACGTCATTGACCTTCATATTCGTTACAATCAAAAATAAAATGTAATTGAATTTGCGATAAATCATAAATCGTATCATTTTTAAATTTATTTGCGACTATGGGTTGATTAATCGTATATAGCATTATGCTCATTAAATGCAAATAGCGTTGAAAATATATCCGCCCTTGCTAGCTGCGACTGAGCGGCATTGATTTCTCAATTCGCTATCCCAGTGCGCATAAAAGTTGCAAAAGTAAGACAAACCCATGCTAACGAGCTCGCTTCAAGTGTGCATAAAAGACACGAGGGGGTCATTTAAACGCGTTCGGTACCTAACACACGCACACGGACGCGTGCACATAGACACGCGGACAGCTTGTATAGGAGGTGAACTGACTAGATGCGGCGATAATGAGCATCCGAACCAGCTCTACATATATGTATAATATGTGTGTGTGTGTGTGTAGTTGCTATGCCTCTGTTATATACATGTGAAGCTCGGTCGTTGGAGTATAATGCGCTGAGTCTGCTTACTCGGTCTCTCTCGCTCTCGATATATATCTATATGTCTCATGTCTAAATTTGAATTGCAGGCGAGCATCCAGCGGCAATGCAACACGGCGACGCCGCAAGGACGACCGGACGATTGCTACTGTTACTGCAGCTATTGCTACTCGTCTGTTTGAGGCCCTTCAGGTGAAGCGATCCACAGTGATAATGTCGCACACTGCCCAAATTAGGATGCTAATCGCCGCTGCTATAACGACGAGCGTCACTACACCTACCTCTCTACATGACTTCGAGAGCATCGAGAGCTCCCTATTCAACTGCCACCGATAAGTCAAGCTATATATTATATTGCATAAGCGCTCTTGACAGCGGGTAAAGAAAAAAAACGTTAACGATAGAGTAAAGAAACAATTGTAATACGTAATGTTTGGCTGTGCGTGACTGCGCGAATACATGTGATCATTGTGTGTATCTTTTACTTTCTTACTGGAATCAAAAAAAAAAAAAAAACAATTCTTGACGTAGCTTTCAAGATTCAACACATGATTGCTTGATCATAACGAAGATTAAAATGAAAAAAAAGTAACAAGGACGCGCTCAGCGGTCGTATGTAGCTTCTTACGATAAGAAGCTTTGGTCCTCGAGGTATTGCGAGTGAGAGAGAAAAAAGTGACATTTCTAAGAAATTCGGTTGCAAAAATCAGCAGACATTGTTTCTCTCTTTCTCTCTCTTATTTTTTTTTTTTTTTTGCTTCGCGTTGGTAATCAGCATGGTTTACACAAAAAATCTATATTTCTGATACATACACTCACACGTGTGCGACCACACTGGCACGAATCGCGAGTAAATTTTCAAGCACCAACTCGAAATTTGGCCTTCGTTTTGGTCTCGAAGTAAGGCTGCTTCGCCGAGCTCGAAAGCTCGAAAGCTCGCATGAGCTACATCGCAGCCCTAGCAGAAAAACTTGCAATTTTTTCTCATCGCCTTCTCGTGAAAATAAATACAAGTATCGAGCTGAGAGTCGTGTTCAAATGTAATAACGTTTCTCCTTTTCTCTTTCTCTCTCTCTCTCTCTCTCTCTTTCTGCTGCTACCGTCGCTGCAACTGCTTCTGGCTTCGTTTTCTAGAGCAAGTTCGTATTATAGCGCGAGATAGTCCTTGGAGTACTTTCTCGCTCGCCTATACTCTGTACTACGTTGCTATATCTCGCTCGCGCGCGCACGACTATTTCCTTTCTTTTGAAATTTCCTTTTCTCTCCTTCCTCCCGCGCTCTACTCTCCCTCCTCTCCAGTTTCAAGAATTGTTACTTTCTAATCTGCCGAGTGAACATTTCAATTTCAATAATTTTTTATGACTCTCAATTGGTTGTACGACTCGAGTCCCTTCTTTTCTTCTTCTTCTTCTCTTTGCGCGCAGTAATAGAAAATTGTCTTTTTCATAGACATCGCATCTGTCCGGAACAAGTCAGTCAGTAGCGAAAACTGATCTGACTATGCTACGCGTCTGTCTGTGCGGTAAACTTTTCGGACATCATGGATGCGTTCGGTGGGGGAGGGGGGGTCTTTGCTCGTGACTTTATACATTAAGAGTATAGCTAAAAGTCGAGCTTCATCTTTTCAGCTGTATAAGCCCGAGCCGCTGCTGCTGCTGCTGCTGCTACTACTGGAGTCAGAAGAATCCAAACAAGTCTTAGCCACTATGTATAGCGCGCTTGCGGGCCCGAGCTCAGACAGCCCTTGGGAATGGAGTTATTAAAGTTTCTTGAGTGCGCTAGGCGCGCGCGGCAACGGCAGAACTGCGGCTTCTTCAGAGAGCTGCAGCTTTGTGCAATAAAATAAAAGACTCGAGCCACGCGAGCGCGCGTGTCATTTCAACGTGTCGATAACAAGCTAATTGAGCTCGAGAACTTTTCTTCTCCCTCTCTATATCCTTTTATGCGCAGATAAATTTTTCAACTTTTCATATTGTGTCGTAACATTTTTTCCCAGCGCGTCGTTATACCCTGTGGCACCGCACCAACACCACCACCACCACCACCACCTTTACCACCACCCTCGCCATCCGCAATGACCCAAGTTAATTTCACATCGGTTCCAAACATCCACACACCACCTACGTAACCGTGTGCTGCTGCTCTCCGTGTATCTATGTATATACGTGATAGGTATAGATGGGCGCGCTCGTGAAGCGAGGAACTTTGCTAATCACATCGGCGTTCTCGCACACACAACTTTAAATAGCTTAGAATAGATCACGTGGCTACCAGAACGTGACATCACTTTATGCGTTTGCCTGGTCATACCCACACATATAGACACACACGCGCGCGCGCCAGCGCATTGCCTTGCAAACGGAGAACAGTGTGTGCAGTTGCCTCTATCTCGATGCACCGCACACGAAGCACTGCAGTTCTATATGCTATAGGTGGTACGCGTAGATCGGCTACGGCGGGATAACTCGTTTACGCGCCATTTGCTAAATTTCAAACTTTGATGTATTTCCAATTGGCCAGCTTGAAATCGTCTCATTATTAACTTTCGTTCGTATTTATATCCTAAACGTACCTTTTATTATAATTTGTAAAATCATTAAGTTCAAATATCGAGTTGTTTTGGGAATTCCATCAAAAATAAATATAATATTTTTTTCTTTATAATTTTATGCGGATGGAATAATTTTATGGTTCATAATTCTGAATATATTCATGATTTTCCGTTTACGCTCAAACAATTCGATACGCATAAATCGATAAATATTTGATTTTCTTCATCGAGACCAACGCTATTTACTTTTTTTTGTTTTGTAAAAAGTACCTCTCTCGGCTAACGTATATATGACGAGAGCAGGTCGCAATTGGAATCCTGAAAGAGGGACGGGAGGAAAAATGTGAACTAATAACAATGTGCATTACGTATATAATATCTCGGTTCGGAGCTGAGCGGCAGCAAAGCGGCCTTAGTGGGGTAACGTGCGTACATAGCATACCTGCGTGTGTGTGTGCGTGTGCGAGTATACATGTAATATGTACGCGCCGGAGCTTGGCGGTATATATCGTCGAGCTAGGCAGAAGCTGCAATGTAGACGCTACACATTCACATAACGAACAAAGGTGCGCGCATAATCGTTTTCCTCCTCCTACTTCTAATGCCACTGCTGCTGTTGCGAAGCTCTATCTCTATCTCTCTTGCTTGCTCTCTCTCTCTCTCTTCTCTCTCTCTCTCTCTCTCCTCTCTCTCTCTCCTCTCTCTCTCTCTCTCCTCTCTCTCTCTCTCTCTCTCTCGACAGGAAATTCCGGAACGACTCTACACACATACTATACTACTACCGGACGTTGCGAAGCTCCTCGCTCTTCAACCTCTCCTCCTTCGTCCCCTCTCCCCATCGTCGTGCCCTCCTCTGGGATTACCGTACATACGTACTTGCGTACCTACATACATCGCAGTATACATACACTCTATCCGCAAGCTCTCCACTCGCGACGCACGCATATACACGCCAACGTAATACATGAGAGCTTGCAGAGACAGCGACGACGACGACGACAACAACGACGTCGAAGAGCTCCCCTTGCGCATAGTCTTGAGACTTTATAAACAATCGTACGTATGCGATGTTATGATAATGCAAACCATGACTGTAGCAGCGGCACCCGATGACTTCAGTAATCCCGTTGAGTTTTTACAATATCGTTCGAGCTTGTGTCGAATCACCGTCGTCGATTTGTAGCGTAAATTCGAATTTCCAAAGCTCCCATTGGATGAGTTTCGATTCTCTCCAATTCGTTCTTTCGAGCCTCGCACACTCGACTCTGACCGAGCAATATTTTTTCGGTGAACATAACAGAGATAAAAATTGCGCAATGGACATCAACATCCTTGCTCGGCCTTGTTCCATATCGCTCGTTATATTCGGCTGTTATTTTTTTCTTCAAATTTTTGTTTTTTTAATAAACACGCCCTCGCGCCTCACCACCACCGCTCCTAAATCTCTTATTCTCTGGCCCGCCGCTTGCTTCACTCCACTTGGCCCTCTCATTGTCATAAATTTGCCGGATTTACTCGAGCATCTTAATCACCATAAGAGACGAGCCGCGCGCGTTGTGCAGTACTGCGTGTAGTATTTATTTATATACCGCCGCTCTGCGCTAACGTTATATACTCTTCCAACTGGAATCCTTTTTTCTCTCTCTTCTCTCTCCCCCTCGCTACTTTTATGTATGTACGCGCGGCGCGTCTATGTATGTATACGTAAAACGCGCATATATACACGCACGTCCACGCCCCAACGTGGATCTAGCACTCGGAGTGTATTTTGTTATTTACGACGTTTGCTCTTCCGGCTGTGGCGATTTATAAGCGTTCGTTCACGTGTTGTTTATACGAGCTGGAAAAAAACACACACAGCCTCGCTATACATATACATAGAGAGAAAAAGATAGAGAGAGAGAGAGAGAGAGAGAGAGAGAGAGAGAGAGAGAGAGAGAGAAAATCCAGAAAAGAAGAAAGGTCACTTTTAGCGGCAGCGAAATAGTCGCGCAGATATAATTAAGTGGACAATGACCTCAGCAAACGAGTATACGAGGTCGTTTCTATATCGTCGCCGATCATTTTATACACATACACACACATTCAAGGAACATTAAACACGAATGCTGCTGCTGCAAAAGCTCACATGTGGCAATGGTCACTGTACACTTACACTACATCGTATTGCTACAAAAAGGAAAGCCTCGCCGATGAGTATCTGCCATTACGTGCCAGCAGAGTTGCTGCTGCCGCTGTACGTGCAGGATCGCGGTCACGCTACATTTTTTCCCTGCAAGCTCGAAACGTCTTATTATTATACCTTATGTATAGAGCGGCAAAGTCTTACGCTGCTTCTCCCTTTTGATATACGTCGATCTTCGAGTCTATATACGTCGAGTATAAGGACTTTAGCGCGCGAGAAGGGTAGAAAAATTCAAAGTATAAATGGTATGATATAGTTCCACGGTAACGACCCATTGAATATGCATTGCGTGGCATCGATTATATCGTTTGCGTCGTCGTCGTCATGGTCGGGCGGGTCCTCGCGTTAATATACGTGCCGAGTGACGGAACCCGAAGCACCAGCACACGCTACAGGCGGAGAGAGATATATACATTAAAAGTGTATCTAAACTGTATTAGGCACTTTGACGGCGAGCAGCCTAATTTTTGACAAGAAATTACCAAGTTACGCGAAGATTGGCGCTATCCGAGCTAAACGCTCCTCGTACGCTATAGTAGATAGAGAGAGAGAGAGAGAGTAAGAGAGAGAAGCGCAGCCTTATAACTTTGCTAGCTACGCGGTATTCTCTCGAGAGGACCGCTATAACTCGTTTGATAGCTCCCGCACCCCCTTTCCTCGTTGCCGCGTGCAGTAACTTCCATGCTGCGCACGCGCAGCACGCCAAATCTCCGCCCTGATGTTTTAATTATGTATATTTATATTCAACTTAACGCCGCAAGTACCCAGCGGCCTGCTTGTTTCCTTTTTCTTTTTATTAATATACTTTAAGTTCCTTTGAATAAATTTTCATTGCGCTTGGAAAGCTTTTCTATTAAAATTGTTCATTGATTTCTGCGTCACGATATTGTAATGTATTGTATTATTCGTAAAAGTTTGGGCTGCGCGTTGTCAGCTGCGATACCCAATGCCATCGCTTACGATTTGAG